CTGTACACCTTGTAATCTTGGCGTGATGAATATCGATGTCATATTCTTCAAGCCTTTTCGAGATTGAGTGAGTTTATTGAGCCTACCTCTCTGCGCTTTGCCTTCGTCAGAGCCTGGAATGGTCTAAAAACACCTCGAGACTTCTCGCTCAAACACGTCAACAACCCTAAAGACACATGGTATGATCACACATAGTTTGGGCTGAGTGACTATCACCCCCCCCCAGCTGTCGAAGTAGGGATTTCTCCGTCCGAACAGCGCAGGAATGAAGATCCAGGATCGTGGGACACGCTAATTCCTCCATACTCCGCCTAAAATGCAACTTGCGGCGCAGACTCCCGATCCACGTTTATACTAACAGCCGCCCGCACGGCGCGTATCGCGCGCAGCGCTCCTGGCACTTTGCCAAGTCGATGGTCTTGCACACCTAAACTATGTGTGATCGTACCATGTGTCTTCAACACAATTTCAACTATCCACTGGATCTTTCAAATATATCGATCGAGAGCAGATGGCTGACTCACCTAGATATCATCCGCGCATGCGGGACGACCATCCTGGAGGTGACTTGAGCGTGAAATATCGATTATTGGTAACCCCCGTGACCTCCCGGTAGGTCAAATCTTGTAGAGGTAAAGGAGGGTTGCGAACTTGCCGGTGATGACCACACAAAATTCTTTCGTATTCATTTGAAGGTCCTTGGCACTAATGCAAAAGGACTCCAGTGTCTTGCGCGCCGCATCTCGGTCTTTTGGGCTAGAATGGTGGCTGCTACGTCAGATGACGTACCACCATGGTGTTGTCTACGATGAACGCCAAGCGGTGTGACCTCACGAGATCCTCCAGATGTTCCTCGACCTCTGTGGGGTTTGACTACTGGGAGGTGGATGGTACCAGTAATTGTTACTTCACGCTCAAAGGCAATTGCACGATAAATCCCCAAGTCGTTAGGATTAATGCGCCTGCGATAGCAGAATTCGGCGTCCCCTGAGCAGGCGCTGCGTGGCGCCTTTTTCAAGGAAGGTTCCCTTATAGCGCCCTACCGAGCCGCAAAATATCGCCTCAGGGTCCACAGTGTCCGTCGCGACTTGTGGCATTGCCACCAATGGTTGTTTTCCTCCTGAATTCATCTTTTCCCGACCGCCATTGGTAGAGCAAGTCGGCCTCAGACGGGCTCATGCCCAGGGTATAGCATCGTTGAGTGAAACACGAAGATGAGCGTACTTCTCCTCTGGGGCGGGGGGTAGTCGAATTTTGTCGTTGGTAGACAGAGGGGGGGTCAATGTGCGTTTGAGAGAAATTCGCTGCATTGGGAAAAAATTTCTGCCGGTTTTCGCGTGATTTTGCCTGTTTCATGTGTACTATAATATATTACCATTTCATACATCACGATGCTGTACCCTGCTTATGCCGCACAGCGCTCGCCACTCCCGACAAATTGCAATGATACAAACTATACATGCAGCCGTGTCTACCGTACCGGTCACTGGCACGATGCCAACGGGAAACTCGTCCGAAATTGCTTTCTGAGTCGCAACAAGCTTTTCCTGCGGGTTTTCAATCGTTACTCCGCTTTTTAGCCACTTTCCCTCTACACGGCGCAAT